TATTCTAAGTATTTTCTCCAATTCCACGAATTCAGACACCTCCTATAAAGATTATCTTACCCTCTGCGTGACACCTATTACTAGAAACTAAAATTTGCATATCTTTTTGGTCAACTGAGTCCTGTCTCATAAACTGCACCAGTCAGGGAGTGGTGCTGTCAGCTTTATCAGGGGCTTTTAACCAAAGTCAATGAGGCAGAGAGTCTCAGTGTTCTGCATTAATAACTGGAGGGTTCTGGGTTCAAATCCCAGGTGAGACACTGCAGTTATACAGCTGGGCATGGTGCTTCACCTGAATTGTAACAGTAAGCTACCCAGCTGTATAAATGGGTGCAAATATAAGCTACTTTGGGGAAAAGAGTCAGTAATAGATTAGTAGTAGTAAATGGTCTTGAATGTTGAGATGAAGATCCAGTATAACTTGCTCTACAGGTTTAGAAAGGTGACCCTTTCCTACTGTTGAGTGAGAGATAGCCCTCTCCCTTATTTTGTTTCTCCTTCTACATTCTCCTCTGATTCTGGTAGTTATACCAGAAAAGAAAACCTAAAAACCGATCACCAACTCCAGCTTCTTCTTCCTGAGCTCTCATAGTCAATCTACTTATTTAATTAACTGCCATGTGGTAATGTGTCTAACTAGTCTAACTGTTGTTTAATAGGCACCTCTACCTTAAGAAAAATCCTATACGTGTCCAAAAAACAAATAGGTTAAGTGTTTCATTGACTGCTCAGTTTGAAAAAATAAAACATCTAGGAAATGGACTTGAGACTGCTGTTGAAAAGTGTCAAACTGTGAAAAGATCTATACTGCCATGTGTCAACCTAACCTCATCTAAGGCACTCTTCTCAGTACTGAGCCCTTTCCCTGTGCTACATCAGGTATTTATCATAACAGTCCTCAGCCACGTGTTTTACAAGAACCACACACCTTTACACAGTATACAAAACACTTAACATGTTCTCTCTCACCAGTATTTTTAGTGCATGTTTTATATACAGTGGAGTACACTTCCTAAAAATGTTCCTCACGAAACAAAGTATTTATTTTCTTTACATCTTTCCTAAGAATTTTCTTAAATAAGGTTCTTCTTATTTCATTTCATTGTAAGAATTTCCCAGATTCCATCTTCAGAAGTGAAAAGGAACAGAGATGAAATGCTAGTTTAATACTGCAGTAAATGTATTTAAAACATTGTCATTTTCAAAATTATGTTAGTAATCAGATACTAATAGTTCATATGATGAGTATTATCATATGAAGTGTTTCCATATGGTGTCTGTCAGCCACTGGAGCATTTAATGAGTAGTGATGAGCATTTCATGTTGTTATTTTGGTATTGCAATTTGTGTAGCACAAATGCAATACATGGCAAACTTATTTGCTAGTTAGAAAACACCCAACTCTGACTAGTAGCAGTTTTAAAATCCTATTGTTTTCTCATAATTAAAAGCATTCATAGAAAGCCTTTCAATCCAAGGCACCTTAAAGAAAAAAATCTAGATGGTACCTCACTGAGAGTAAATATAGTTTCACAACTGATAGAGGCCACTCTTAGTGAATTGGTGAATAACCTGATTTTATGCAAGGTGCCAATATATAAGTCTGCAATTGTAGTAAAGCATGATAAAGAACATACAGCAGTGCTTTGACCCGATGGAAATGTGGTGTACTACACCTTTGTGGGTCAAAAGGTGGAGCAAGGGAGAGGGTGACGATGTTAGGCAGATACAACTTGTTCTGTTTTCATACAGGTGACCCTTTGCTTAAATTCACGACCATGCTGCTGTTTTTCACCCACAGGAATACCACCACAGTTCAGAACAGGACCCAGAAGTTCTATTTTTCCTTTTGAAGAGCCAGGGCTTGAGCTGGTAAGCCTAGCTCACTAATAGCAACCCCTTCAATTAACTTCAACTAGCTGAACATGGTCATACCCTCAGTGATATCCTAACCCTGTTCCTGTGTTTAGCCATGGAGTAAAGCAATTGAAAAATGTCACTCTAGAGCAGGGGTTCCCAACCCGGGGTTTGTGACGGTACTGCAGGGGGTTCATGAGATTGTGATGGAAACGTCAATGTCAATTTAAATAGTAAATTTAAATAGTAAATATTATATGTTCTTTATCATGCTTTACTACAATATTAATATTTCACAAAGTGAAAAGAAACATGTTAAGACGGTTGCTGTAGCATTTATCTACATTTATTGAAAGTTTTGATTTAGTTAAAATCTCAAGGGGGCACTTGAGGCAAATAATTTAGGTTGAAGAGGTTCAGCTGACAAAAAAGGTTGCTCTAGAGTACAATGGAATTCCAGTTTAAACCGTCAAACGTTACCCAACAGACATCCTTTCATGCAAGGTTGAGTTGAAAGTGACTCTAGAGGTGCAGCCATGGTTCTCTGTGGTGTTAGTGTAGAAAGCAAAAGCAGACAAGAAACAAGCGCCAGTTTTTGTTTTTTTTTTACCTGTCCGATGCAGGCGCTCCTGCCTGTAATAGTCTGAAGAAGAGGATTACAGAGACTTTAGTCCGGTCAGCCCCCCCGGCTGCTTTGTGTGTCCTGGACTGCAGGAGATTGCGGGAGGAGGATTGAATAGAAGCGAAACAGCCAGGAGGAGACAAGTCCACCGACACCCCAGACAAGCAAAGAGTTTGGGTGGCAGCAGTAAGAACCAGCATGTCCATAACCACTAGAAGCAAATGCTCCACATGAAAGGGAAAAAAAACTAAGGGTTTAGTTTGTGGTTCTATGGAAAGAGAAAATACAAGGAGCCTTGATGTCTAAACCTAATAGGATATTGTTTGCTTGAAGTGCTCACCAGAACAACTTAGGATCTGTTGGATGGACAAGAAGAGGACCTGAGCTCTGTCCTGCATTACTCTTCCTCTTTGCACTGGGGCAGGAGCCATAGCCAGGCTCTTGTAGCACCACGAGGAGGGCTTTGCACCTGGGCATCTATATTGGTGTGATATACAGTAGATCCCCCACTTTAAGGATCAGTGGTATAGCACGTCCCTTTCCCAATTCACAGTAAAGCCTGTAAGTGGACGTGGTGGGAGTCGGAGGTTTTCATGGCACAGCATGACAAATTCGTGAGCAGGGTGGATCCTGCACAGGCCTCAATCAGTCAATCACCTTCTGATCTTGAATAACAAAGCTCCTCTCGGTTTCATTTCCCCGCTCTACCAACAAGCTGAATAGATGCGTCACAGATGGGAAATGGCAGAGCCACTTCTGCTTTATCTAAGACCCTCTACTCTGACCCCGCACGGAGCTGCCTGTGTCCTCATCCAACCCCCTTCTTCAATCTCAGCGTCTCCTCTTGCATTCTCTTTGTGCACCGGTACCCAGATCAAGATGTCAGCTTGTGGATAGGTCTGAAATCGCACCTGCTCCAGCTCTACTCAGTAGCTGCTGAGTAGCAGGGCCACCCCAGATCTCTACTCTGTACACTGGAATACTTCCACACTCTTCTCTGACCTACGACACGCCCACCCATCTAGTCATTCATCTGACCTCCTGCAGGCTCCATAGAGGTATATAGGAAGTCCGATACTGATGAGAGATGTGAACCTTACTGACATCTCTGCAAATATAAAGGACCAAGGGTCACTGTTTTGCTCAGAGCAGAGTTTTTTTGACTCATATCCTCTCTACCCCAGAGAAAGCTGAGCCAACTGTGGACCGCCGTTTGGGAAATTCTGGTCACGGGTAACTCATGGCGTGTCCCAAGCTTGAAATTGCGATGTTTCGGCATGAGCGCTTACCTGCTGAGCCACTGGGGAGGCCCCCGAAGCTCCCTTCCGAAATCCTCCACCCTGTCCTGAAGGGTTTGAGCAGAACGCATGCTGTGGACGAAATGGTGACATTGTTCAACGTGCTTAGCAAATACGGAGTCGAGAACACGGTTCACCGTGGGTGCCATTAACTGTGACCTCGATAGCTGTTACTTAAGAACCTGATCACATTTTTAGGCCCTGGATATGACTGAATTCTGTTTGATGCTGGTGCAGGAAGTCCTCCTGCTTTGAGCACACCGATGATTAATACACAAGAGACCCTTTGTGACAACTGCAGGTAAGAAGCAGTGCACCCAGTTGTTAGAGACATGAGGATTACGCCAACAAAGCCCGTGCCTCCAGTACTTTAATCTTCTTTGATTAAACTTGTACATGTTTATCCAGATAAGCAGATAAGAGCATAATCAAAGTTTTGATAACTGGATTTAAAGAGAGACATCAGCTCAGTCTGTAGCACTACAGACTACTTCTGCGCTTCAGCATATGGTAATTGTCTAGTTTTCTTTCCTCCCCCTTCTCAATTAAAATGGTCTCTTTCAGCAAACGATACTATACTGCCTACCTAAAGATGATTACCATGAAGATTAGTGGCCACAATGGGCTTTACTAGAAACAAAAGTTCTTACTGCATTTACGTATGCGAGTTCGGTTTTCTTCTTCCTTCTCTATTGTGGCTTTATTTCCATTAGGACTTCAGACTAAAGTAAATTGACTGTTTGAACTAAATTTTTAGAGGTTGGATTACATTCCTTTGTTATTTTGAGCTATTTTCAGTTATGTGATTAACCATTTTCAGTTCAAAACTTGCTTACATAATAAATTGCATTAATGTTCACCATGAGCCCTTGAGAGGGATCTGGCAAAAAGCCTTTCAAACTCATGTGACACGAACTACCTAAGCTGATTACAGAGCTTGTGTTTTAATTTGAGTTATGTTGTGTGGCTTAAGGTTGCCAATTAGTTTAATTAAAGGCCACACTCTGTATACCAGCAATGCAAAAAAGCTCAATATATTTTTATACTGGTGAATTAACAACTTCCATCACTTCTGGCAAATTTAAGCATCAGTGCAGGGTGACAAGTTGGTCTCAACTTGTGATTTTATCTTTCCATAAAGTTTAATCATAATTCAGTATTAATAGTACATAAAACACAAGAAACTACAAGATCGCAATCAAATGAGAGAGGAGTCAAAAAGGTAAGGCCAAAAAAAATATTTATTGAAATTGTATAAAAATAATTTTTATTCTAGTATAATTTACAATTCTAATTCAAAGGACAAAAAAATCCAAGCTGCATTCATGCAACTGCTAGTGTAAAGACAAATATGTACAAAAAAAAAGAAAAAACTCATCGGGATACTTTCGACCCATACAAATGCACGGCAGACATTTTTAAAAAAGATATTAATTAGGTAAACAAAACCGAACTGTTTCTCTTTTACCTGTTCAGTACACATTCAGTACACCATGCATTGAAAACCAGTGCCCGGAAAGGTATTTACATGCGCACATAAAGTCAAATTGTTCAAAAACAAACTGAATTTTACATTTCAAACCATAAATATGGTAAAAAAAAATATTAAAAACAATCTGTGGGCCCTTCAAATTCATTGTGGAATGAAAACGTGTGCAGAAGACAATCTTCTGCATAAATAAATAAATAATCCCACAAATCCTGTTGGAAAAAAAAAAATCACACAAATAAATAAAAAAAACTTTATACAACTGCTCCATAGTGGAATTGAAAGCCAAAATAAATGTACATATATACAGAAATTTACAAACAAAAAAAAAAGTGTAGTTTTTTGTTATTGTGGTTGCATTGCTTGTGCATTTATGACTTTGTCCCAGCGTGCCATGGCTTCAGGGCGATCAGATGAGGCTAGAAATGTGAAAAGGAGAGTAAACTGAGGTCAGTCTTGTCAGCTTGGAGTTTGCACAGAGGTTGATGAGGTCACCCGGTTGCGATTGATAATGGGAGTGCAGAGGGGTGCAGACACCCAGACAACGGGGGGCCCGCCAAATGAGCAAGAGACGGAAGCAAAAAAGTCCAGTTAAGGAACAAAGCGGTATAACAATTTCAAGTATTTTTCACAGTCCTTGACGATCGAACTCGCATAGAAGGCACTCTTTAATGATTTGTTTTCAATGTCAGGCTTCTCTATCTTCCCCCCCCCCACACGCACTGCGCTGAAGTGCATGTTCGTTCTGTAGTAGCTGTGGCTATTAGTAGGTGGTCAGGTGGGTTACAGTACTACCGGAACAGTCCCTGGTCCTTTGTGGTTTTAACTTCATCGGATGTATGCCCTTGTGGTACAGTAAGGATCGACGCCCAGAGCCAGCCGCGGCGCTCTGGAATCCGAAAGCAGCCGTAGTAAACAGCTATGCGGTGCATAGACTCAAAAAAAGATCAGTCTGGTTGAGGAGGAACGAGGGAGGGGGGCGGCCGGGTGGCCTCCCCTCCTCACCGTGTCGACAGAGGCGCGGGTGGTCGGTTCTCTCGCGAATGGTCCTCCCGTACAGGTGAGCAGGGGGCGGGCAGGTGTTTCCCCTCGGCTCCTAAGGCCTCCCCCAGCACCGTCCAAACTTGCTCGGTTCCGGCAAGCGTCTTCCTCCCCGCCACGTCTTTGACTACAGTATTATATAAATATGCCGCCTATTACTAAATAGTAGAGTCTCTTTTGTTTTGTCAAAACTGTGATTATTGGTTAATCGCTGGCAGTGAAGGACGTGGGCTCGTGGGTCAGGCTGTGCAGTCTGATCTCGGTGGAGTCCGCGGGCACGGAGGCGCCCTGCATCCACGGGTGGTTGATGATATCCTCAAAGGACGGGCGCTCCGAGGGCCGCAGAGACAGGCACAGCTTGATGAGCTGCTGACATTCTGCAGGGGCACAAGAGAGAGGGCACACGACGGCGTTACTCACTTGCCAGCACACTGTCAAAATTATAACTTTCTAGAATTTTCCCCCCAACACCCCTCTATAGCCTAAAACTTTTTTTTTAAAAAATTCTGGCGCGATATCGAATGGTTATCTTTTTCTAGCATTTGACCTAAAGCGAGGCTGAAGACCTGTGTGTTCAATAAAAAGGGGCTCACCTGCTGAGATTCTCCTCCTGAAGAGCACCTGTGCCCTCAAGATCTCTTCGTCCTGTTCAAAGGGAATGTCCCCACAGACCATGTCGTACAGCAAGACCCCCAACGACCACACCGTCGCTGATCTGCCGTGGTATCTGTGGTACTTGATCCATTCTGGAGGACTGTACACTCGAGTACCTATTTAAAAAAAAAAGACAGAACAGTCATTAAAACTTCAGTTGAAATGCATAAGCCGGATCTGTTCATAGCTGCGAGCCAGATAACACAGCCGCCGCAAACACAAACCCCGCGCGCGCTCCGGCGGAAGCGGGTTGGCGGAGTCCCGAGCTCGAGAGCGTGTGGGAGACCGGGTTGCCATGTGACGTTGTTTACAAACTTTGAGTTGTAAAAGGCGCCGCTTCCCTCCGAGCGGTGGCGCTACAACCAAAACACAGCCGAGCAACGGCCGCAGCCAACCAGCCAGCACTCTCATACAGGAAACTTGGCGCTCTTCGGAGGGCGGCTAGACCAGTCAAAATAAACAAAGGCTTTTCTGTTTCGTTTGTGAAGGCTCGGTCGTGACGTATTTTAAAACGGGGCAACAGAGACGTTGAAGTACAACCTCTGAATACATCTAAAACGCAGGTTCTGATTGAAGAGAAAGTAATTCCAACGTCTTTTATTTTTTTACAAACATACACGCAGAAAAAATGAAGATTTGCGCACATACAAGACAGTGCTGTTGTCCCCGGTTCAGGCAGTGTCTTGTTCAGTCGCACTGCCAATCACCCGGTAAAAAAAGAAACCTTAAACCCCCTCCTCGACACCGAAGCCGGGCGCCTGATACCTCACTAAGATCTCCGATTTCAAAACACTCCAATTTCGGAATTAACAGGTATTAAGCGGGGAATTCTATCCCACAGTGTTTGTGCGGTATTTCGTTAATGAATCATTAATCCCCTAACCACTGTCCAACGGGAAACGTAGCGTCAAAAAGCTAAGCATTTGATTCTAAAAACAAAGAAACAAAAAACCCCACTCGGGGTTTTTTAAGGGTGGGGTGGGTAGGTGGGCGGGGTGGAGCTGGGTCTTTTGTTTTGAAAACAGACCGGCAACGCGTCCCCATGACCCGATACCCAAGCATAAGCCACCCGGCCTGAAACTCCGACATAAACACTGCGCCATGGCAACGGGACAGCGCCCCCCAGCGGCAGTACTGACAACGGCCGCGCAGCGTGAACGGTCACAGGGTTTCCTCGCCTCGTAAAATATAAACAAACCCCGGCTCTCTCGTGAGATGCTACACTTCAAGATCGCAATAAAAACAGCCTCGGAACCATTCGCAACCCATAAACTAGCCCAAAAAGAGAGAAAAAAATAAAATGACTGTCTACTGTTACGGTCTTAGCTTCGCGGGCACACGGCAGCCACGGCATCCCCATCGAGTCGGGCTTTTTGAACAAAATAATTCTGAAAGGTGAAACCCAGCTGCTTACCGTCGAAATCGGTGTAGACGGTGTCCTTCAGGAGCGCCCCCGACCCGAAATCGATCAGCTTCATCTCGCCGGTCCGCAGGTCGATGAGGATATTCTCGTCCTTGATGTCGCGGTGCACGACGCCGCAGTTGTTGCAGTGCCGGACCGCTTCCAAAACCTGCCGGAAAAAGTTCCTCGCCAGCTCCTCGGGCAGGGCTCCCTTTTCGGTGATGAAGTCAAAGAGGTCCTTGACGTGCTCGGGTCGCTCCATGACGATAATAAAACTGTCCGGCCGTTCGTACCAGTCCAACATCTTGATGACACCCCGAAAACCGGTTCCCACCTTTTTCAACAGCAAAACTTCCATGGGCACCCGGGAACCACTTGGCTGCAAAAAGGACACAAAACGACAGTTTTAGTTATAGTTATATTTTCCAGACATATTTATAAAATGTGAAATACTCATATTCCGGTTAAAAAAACATTTTCTCCTTACCAGTTCACCCCATTCGGACACCCGGTCCTTCGCCACATGCTTGATAGCAACCTGTAAATAAGAATTCAGTCTATTAGTATCTCGGTTTAATACTCTATTTCAAAGATGTATTCCCGGGTTATTTTTTATTATAATTAGAAACCTTGGACGCATATATGCAAAAATACGTACAATATTATCTTTAATGTGAAAAAACCTAATGCATAATTTAAAAACCTACCGGCGCTCCGTCAGCAATCCTTAGACCAGCATAGACAGTCCCGAAACCGCCGCTTCCCAACACTGAGCCGACCTGGTACACTTTCTCGAACGGCTCTCGTTCCTTCACTGTTAAAATAAAACACAAAACATGGATTTAAATCCTTTGATTTGGATTTTAGTGTTGCAGTTGTGTTATATGCCGGTTCGTGGTCGTCCCGCTTTTGCTTAGAGTGACGCCGAGTTACACTCTGACCACGCATGAAGTCGGCATCCTCAGGCTTGAGAAAATGGATATCCGTACTTTAATTTGCTAACCTTGTTGTAGCTGGATTTTCGCCGGCATATCCACGGTGGAGATGTGAGCAAAGGTGTTCAACTTGGACAGCAGCATTACTTAAATTCCAGCAGGGTCTTCGGTTCAAGAAATATCACGAGTAGCCGCACGTCGGGGGGTCTTTTCTCCTTGCTCGCGTGTGAAGCGACTGGGCTCAGGGGTCCACGTTGCGGGAACAAATGCACAAGATATCCCTTTTCATCAAAGCGAGGAGGAGCCGTCCTTGATTCGCTTTTTTATAATCTCCACCAAAACAAAAAAAGTCCAGTGGAAATTCAAGTACAAAAATCCAAAGGCAGCAAAAAAAATATAAATTAGAAAGCAACCCAAAATAAATAGTAATAATAATAACAATAATGATAATGCGTTGCAGCCGTGCTGTAACCACCACGACAACCGGCTTTCACTACTGTTTGAAATCCGGTGGCAACAGACTAATATACCCGTAGTAAAAGGGAGAGGCTATTGCGGATACACAGATCTTTGCTCCGCCCCCTGGACCTGCTGCGGCCAATCAGCGACAGGCGCCTTCTTCAACATGCACGTCAATCATACGTACAAATAAAGGGAAAAAGGAGAACAGAATGGGCTCCGGCTAGACTCGACGTGGCGGGAATCGAAACGCGCCAAAAGAATATATATATATAAATCCAGACAAAAAAAATGCCGTTGCACCAAAAACGTTTTTTTTAAAGCTTTGGTGGTATTGTTCGGGACGTCCCGGGTTTTCCTTCTATAATCTGCAGAAATACCCCTCGTTGTAACAAACGCATCCAGGCGTGCGTGTAAAAGTAAATTACTTTGATGCAAATATATGAATATATTTTAAAAGTCCGTTGTGTTTAGCAGCGTGTTTGCTGCTGTTCTTCATTAAACTAAAGCTGCAAATCATAAAGGGGATGCTGCTGTCCCTGCTGCAAGGGGACACGTATTGGCGGGACATGCAGACGGAACAGACAGCATTGTTTCTCTAGCGTGTGGATGCGAGTTTTAGCAACTACTTATCAGTACTACGTTTGATTACCGATATTGGTTTAGGCATGGTCACTGTGCCAGTGTATGAGCAGCACAGGCTGAATAAACACATGCACGTTCAGCAGCAAAATAAAACCGATAACCCCAAATAACCGAATAGTTCGAATTGCGATCTCAGTCTCAGACAAGCACGCCACGCTTCTACAACTCTGATCTTTCCAGTTGTAGTCTGTTGGCTCCGGATACCCCGTATTCCAGGTGCGTAGAGCAGGAAGTCAGAGGACGAGGAACTAAAAGCAAAGGATTTAGTTTTACTGCGAAGTTTAGGATTGCAGCATGATCCCAGTGATTTAGTATTAATACCTGTATTAACTGGGGGAAATGCAGCTAAAAGTACTATGTAAATATGACTTGCAATAAAAATATAAGATTAAGAAATAAATCACAACAAAGTTAGCATTAACATGTTTCAAAATCTGAAACCGGCTTTTTAGAGCACAAAATCCGAACTCCTTGATGCTACGAATTAAGGAAGGAGGAAGCCCCTTTATCATGTGACTTTCCTGCAGAAGCCAGCGACAGTTTTTTGCTATTGGGTGGTTGTTATTGTGGTTTGCAGGAAAATCCACAACGCTTTAAAAAACAAATTGTAAATTAAAGTAACCCTTATAAAAATTTAATGGCGCAAAAATAGAGCCTTAATTATAAGCACTAAAGCACCACTGTCCTCCAACCCATCAATCTAATAACCTGAGCTCGCGTAGACATTTTTTATGGATAATCTATAAAACGTTTAGATGCCTGTAATCTCATAAAAAGAGGAATTACTGGAAGTAACACCCTAATAATGTCCCCGCCGGTACCTGCACTTAATGCAGTATTGTTATCGGTAAAGCAAAAAAGGGTAAAACAACTCGAATTCCATCCAATATTGAATTAATTAAAAACAACTGCCATAAAATTATTACAAATGTACGTATTTAAAAAGGGCGGACAAGTAGGCGCGCACGAAAGCTAGTTCACCCGGTATATAACTAGTGGCTTTATTTCAAAAGACGACTGCTGCATTCCTATGTAAATAAGGCGCTGAAGGGCGATTGAGTGTAATTACGTTTTATCACCTCAAGTAAACCTACTGAGTTGCTGGGGGCTGCTGGAGTGTGTGTGCGGTGGGGTCGTTGAGTTATCAGACAACCGTCACAGAAAGGCTCCCTTTTTTACCTCGGGTGGGCTTTGCTAAGGGTCTTCAGAAAGAGACACCATTCCGCGCCCCGCACTTCCCGCAGACAAATGGTGCGCCTGTGCGATGGTGTGAAAAAATGAAGGGGCGTACGCTTTAAAACTTAAGGCACGGTTTTGCGGCGCCCTGTTCCTTTTTCCAGTTTTGTATGGAGAAAAATCATAGAGACAACAAAAAAGACACAGACACACATGCAAATGATCCAGTATATCGTCTTTGTGACCTTTTTCTTTTTTTGGGAAGGGCGAACAGCTCCAACAGGCGATCCTAATCTGTCTTTTGACTGCTGCTATAGACGATAGACGCATTCCACGCATTCTTTCGAACTGGGTGGCCCGCCTTTTTCTCGGTCGCGCAGGATGTGGGAATGAGAGATAAAAAGGCACCGCAGTCCCCGCCCATCGGGTTTGGGAGAAAAAAACAAGAAACATCAGTAGTCTCTCTCTTTTTTTGTTATTAATTCGTAGACAGAGGTCGCTGCTGAAAAAAATTTAAAGACACAAAGTTTCGCAGTCGGATCAGGAATTCTGTGACCCACCCCTCCTCTCCTTTTTACGTTGTTTTCAGGACGTTGGGGAGGGGGATATCGAGAGGAACAGTTGCAGTTTCTTGAAGGGAAAAGGGCGGTCTGGACTGTTACGGGAAGGGGTTTTAATGTTGAAACCAAGCAGAGGGATTTCAAATGTTGCTAAGAGGTTTTTAACAACCCCTCCATAGTCCCGGTCACTTGGAAGAGGGAAATCTGTTTCCATCTCTCAAATGGCAGCATCTAAACGTCTTTAATAGTTTAATAGCCAGGGAATAGTCTTCAGAAATCACAAGATTACCAGCGTAAAAGCACATACAATCCTCTAGTATTTAATAGCTGTTAACGCCCTTCTCTCAAACCGGCAGCATTCATCTCTCGCAGCAGGCGGCATTTTGGTCATCACGAATGTACCCCCGCACCACGGAAAACGGCTTTTAAAACGCCTGCCTGCAAGATTTGAAGGACATTTCCAGTATTGATCCGTCGTTTCAGCATAGTTTCCATAGCAATCAAGTTCTTGAAAATGTCACTGAAATTAAGAGAATGATGTAGGGCGGGCCGGCTTTAAGCTGCCCCTCCTTACGTTTGATACGACCCAAAGGTGTGCTGTTTTAATCGTTAAACGGTATCTTGTGCGACTAGTCACTATTAGTATGATTTACAGGAGTATGAGGGTGAAATGGCAGCTGTGCCAAAGGGTTTCCCCAATCTTCTCTATCCACACTAAATTGAACAAACTTATTCCATTAGATTAGATTCCTAAATGCATTGTACATTGTTCACCCCATTCGCTCACAGATAAAAGTGTTCATTAGTGACAGGGAACAGGATTATATGGGAAAATCCAGAAAAAGAACAAAAGTTTTCCAAAATTCCACCCTTTTTGACCTGTAAAACTCTTGGGGATTCTGGGGGGAACGGGGCATTTAAACAGGAGGGAGGAGCTACTGCATATCTATGCATATGGTTTGGTCTGCCCCCTGCATTGTTTGACCGTGATTTATGTAAACTGTTTACCAGCAGTTTTCACCAAATGACTTTAGATTATTTTATGATTATCCCATTAATAAACTGAGATCCAAGATAACTGACAGCAAACATTTAACATGTAACATTCAAACATGGACTGTTGTGAAATTAGATGCCTGGTTCCTACCTTGGTTATTATTGGGTGGACACAGGTACAGGTATCAAATCTTTCTGCAAAATAATACTTATCATTTATTCCTCACTTCATGGTTAGAGCAGGATCTTCAAGAAACAGGTATGAAGAGCTGGGAGTCTTCCTCAACGGTCCTCTATCTCCTTTAAAAACAAATTGTTAAAAGGTAAGCTAGATGGACCAAGTGGCTTCCTCTCAGTAGTAACTTTTCTTACCTTGCAAAACTCAAACTCATCCCTAAAACAATAAAGCCCATGTCTAGTGAGCAAACTATGTGGCCTAGATAGTTTACTGGTAAAATTGAGAGAAAAAATCAGAAGGAAGAAATTGCTATACCAACTGCTTAAAACAGCCCAAGATTCAAAGATAGAAAACAAATTTGCCAAGTTACAGGCACAGCTGAACAAAAGGCATTAGAATTGCCAAGAGACAGAAAAAAATTTGCAAGAGAGGCAAAAAAAAAGTAATGCAATGCTTTTTTTCAGTACTACAACAGTAAAAGAACTATAAAAGCCTGAGTAAATAGTTCATGAGATAATAGGGCATTAATAATAGAAGTTGACAAAGATATAGTAAACATGCTAAGTGAATATTTCACATTGATGTTTACAATAGAGGACACTATTAACATGCCCCAAATTAGAGAAGAAACTGCAGTAGTATTGGGTCATTTTAGCTTAACTGACTTGTGGGATATACAAGAGCTAGGGAGGCTTAAAACCTATAAATCATCAGGGTCTAATGGTTTTTTCTCAGTCAGAGTCAAATATTCAAATTTATAGAGGTTACAAAAACAGGAGTATGGACAAAAACAGAAGCAGCAGCAAAGGAAACACAAAAGTCTCAGACATGAGGTCATTGCTGGAGGAAAAAAGGGATGGACAAAAGAAAAGACTTCTTTAAACAAAGAATTGAGGGAGTGTGGAACAGGTGGTTTAAGCCACCACACTCTGGGCTTTTAAAAAAAATGTCAGGTATAAGCTTTGGATTCACTTACTACAAAGTTTCAGTTATCTACTAAGCTACAACTGAGCAAGATGGACTGAAAGACCACCTCTAGCCTTTTTTATATTCTTTGTGTTCTCAATGTACGTGTTAATGGCAGTGATTATGGAACACTGCATTGGTGTTAATTAATTATCACTGCAAGTTGCTTTAAGTAATGTCATTTTAAATTCATCTTCTCTGGTCTTTAGCCAAATCATGCTGAATAGTGTAGAAACAGACAATGCAATTTGCACTTTAAACATTTTGGAACCACAAAGGAATTCGTGACTCTGTTTTCAGCTGCCTTCTAGAGCAGTTACTGTCCTATCTCTCTGAGAATGGTGGGGGATCCAAGAGGAAGCTAGCTTTCTCTTCAAGTGGTGCGAATCCCTGTGCTTTCTTTCATATACACTCACATGTGCCACAGTTGTGTCACTGTTAAGTTTCCTTTATTAAATGAGCTGACAGCATGTTACTTTTTCCTTGTCTGTAGGAGGGTAGGAAGGGGGTACTACATCATGTTTT